GGTGTACAATATCTTTCCAAGGGAGACTAATTGGGATCCTTTTCTGTCAGCAAACAAAAAAAAATTAAGGTGGGATTTCAGTAACTGACTCTTCTGAGAAAATAACAACAACAACAACAACAACCTCAGCTGGCATTTGGAAACTATAAACATTGACAAAATCACGATATGTCAACTTCAAAAGGCCACCTTACTTGGATCTGCTTGCATCATTTGAAAACACATCACATAGTCCGACGCTTGGGAAGTGTTCGACTTGTGATTTTGTGATACGAAATCCAGCATATATATCCCGTTTGCTGTGACATACTGTGTTTTTGTGTCAGAAAAATAATAACTTTATTTTTATTTCCCACCACCATCTCCCCAAAGGGACCCAAGGTGACTTATATATGGGACAGAGTGTCCACAAAACATAAAAGCAAAACAATCCATTGAAACAAAAACACAATAAAATAAAAGCATAGTAAAATATAGCAATTCAGATAAAACACAATTAAATAAAACATAAGAAAATAAAACAGCAGCATTGAAACTCCACCAAAACAATGCTCAACAAAGACCAACCAGAAATACTAAAATGGGTGTGTACAAGCAATAAAAAGGGCCGGCCATGAGATAGTGCAAAACAGCGTATCATAGGGCCAGGGAGTTGGAAGTACAGAGAACAGAGTACTATCTGGCGAACTGGGGACTCGACAATATAACTAGGGACTAGTCATTTTCAAATGCTTGCTGAAACATCCAGAGAAGGGGGCTTTTAATGGATTTGGACTGGACTTTTTAATTTGATCATGTTTAAATATTACAGTCTGCTTCATCTGTTTGTAACATTTAAGTCTCTATTTTTCTGCCCCTGTTTTAAATCCATACTTGTACCTGTTTCAATATTGTCATGAGCCTTACCACATCCAAGTTCTGGGTCAAAGGCAAGCAGGAAGTCTATCAAATTTAAAAAAAAACAATAATGGTTTAAGCTGCAAGAGGACACAATATTAATTTTCCACCAAGAACATTATCAAATGCCTTTTAAAAAGCAGCCACTGATTAAAATAGCTTTATTTATCTTGCACCAGAAAATAAGAAAAGAAGGAGCTGAAACACACTTTACCAGAAGTGTGTTTCACAATGTGGCCCCACCAGAAATGAGATTGTGCCTCTTTTAGCCACATGCCACAAGCAGGGTCTTCTTAAATCATGATTTCAAAGGCAGATTTATATGGAAGCAGACCACTGAAAAGTAATCTAAGCTGTTGAGAACTCTAAATCCAAACACCAGAATTTTAAAAGCAAGATTTGAAATAATAAGATCACTAGTGGAGACAGAACATCTGCTCTGCTTACTAAATGCCTAGCTATAGTCGAGATGGTGTCACGAATGTGCCTGTTTAAGATGCATCTACACTCTAGAATTAATGCAGGTTGATGCCACTTTAATTGCCATGACATAATGCTATGAGATACTTGGGGTTGTAGTTTTACAAGGTAGCCTTCTCTGCCAAAGTATTTTGGTGTCTCATCAGAAACTGCCATAATTTTAGAGAATTGAACCATGGCAGTTAACATGGTGTCAAATTACCGTAACTCTACATCCTTAGCTTGCTGAGATCTTAGTCTGGGATCTTTGGGTCCTGCCTTCCCTTCTTTACAGTTCTTTATCATTAAACCAAACTAGACAGTCCTTCAAGCAAAGCACACCTTCAAACTTAACTCTCTTTTTTGCAAAGGAAAATATATTGCTTCACAACACCTAGTAGTATTCCAGACCAAATGCCATCCCTCAACTTTAAGATAGCTCATGATAGAGTCTATAAACCTTGTGTATTTGCTGTTTCCCTGCCAGGGATGGAAAAAAAAGAGGTGTGTGTGTGTGGCAAGCAGGGGTTTTCGCAGTCTGCAAGCAATGGCTAGTGGCATGTCTACAACCTAATGAGTCAAAAGTTGTCAGGCCTAAACAATGTTGACTGAATTTCAAATTCTCCTTGCAGTGAATGTGATGTTTGTCCTGCCCTTTGCAAAAGGCTTTCCTTGTCTCAGGCTGCCAGTGTGAAAAGAAATTGTGTATTGTTAATGTTTGTGGAGGAGATTAAGGTGTTGCTTCTTACCTGGTTGCATTAAAAGCAACACTTTCTTCTACACAACCTCTTGGGTTTTGACTTTGGCCATCCTATCTCTGAGCTACCCACCAGGAACACTCATCTGGATCTTGTGATACTTGAGCAATGCCATGTGGGCCTCATACTGTTTTTCTGTCTTTCTTCTGGCACTGTCTTTGTTATGTGGGCATATTTCTGTTTTAGAAACTATTGCAGAGGAAGAAATGGAGAGATACCAAATTTGCTTTGACAGCAACCAAATTTGTGGGATGCTGGCCTATCACACACACTAATTTTTCTGTCCTCGTTCCATACTTCCCTCTTTTCTCTGAAATTTGTTTAGTGTTTTTTTTCTTTTTAAAAACTTACTTTGAAAAGAAACACATATTTTAAACTAGATGGAAGCCATTTACATCCCTTACTCTGCAGCTATCCAACACTGAGAACCATAAGGGGATTAAAAACACAATCTCTCTGACAGTATTTGTGGTAAAATAGCTGATCTTCTCTCCTTTGTTTGTTTCTCAGAAGAAGCTAATGTGAGCTCCACAATCTATGAGATAGAGGGGAACCACCTACTAAGAACTGAAATAAAATGAGAAACAGAATTTAGAACAGGCCTCTTTAACAGATGCAAAACTAAGGAGCATCTTGGAGAAGGGCTGCAGCTCAATGGCAGAGCACTTGCTTTGTATAATCAAGATCCAAGGGTAACCATAGAATCATAGAATGGAAGAGACCCCAAGAGCCATCCAGTCCAACCCCCTGCTGTGCAGGAACACACAAACAAGGCACTCCAAACAGATGGCCATCTAGCCTCTGTTTCAAAACCTCCATAGAAGGAGAGTCCACCTCACTACACTGTCAAACAGTTCTTATTGGCAGCATCTCCAGAATGGGCTGAGAAAGAACACAGCCTGAGAGTCTGAAGAGCCCTGTTAGTCAGTGTTGAGTAACATGAACCTTTCTTCTCACAGGGTAAGAGATATCATCTCAAGTTCTGTAGCGGAAGTTACTTTTTAAAAATTCCAGCTTCCAGGATCTTCTAAGCAGCATATCCACTGTTAGACTCTGGGGGTGAAATTCTTTTTTAAAGTTCTGTTGCATGTAAAGCAGCTCATAACACATGCTGGTAAGCATATTGAGCAAGATTTTTTTTCAAAGCCAGCATAGTGTAGTGGTTTGAATACTGGAGAAGGATTCTGGAGACCAGGGTTCAAATCCCCACTCAGCCATGAAAATCCCTTGGATGATCTTTGTCAAGTGATAGTGTCTCATTCTTAGCAGAGGGCACCAGCAAACTTCACCCGAAAATCCTAAAATAGGGTCTCAATAGGTTGAACTGATCTGAATAAAACAAAAATATTCAGGCCTGTTCTATAGAAATTCAAGTCTCACTAAGTAACCCTGCATTGTTTTCATAAAATAAGAGCTATAATGTAGGCAGAGATGTCACCTCCTTTTGATCACTTTTTGTTACAAAGCAAAAAGCTGTATGGCTGCAGAGGGCTCTCTAATTCAGCTGTTTTTGGGTTGCTTTCAAAAACTTTCTAACTCTCTTGCTGCCTGGCTTCATTTCACAGCATGCAATGCAAGGACTGTGCTCATGCATGCTCATTTCCCATTCTCAGCTCTGCTCTCTCTGCACTGCAGGATGAAGGCTGTGTTGTCCCTAGAGCTTCCATGCGGAATGAATTGAATGGCATGTTGCCATTTGAACAGTTTCTCTTCTTGATTCCTGGAAGTTTCTGTTTCACTCTACAGGAGAATTCAGCACCCTTCCTCTGCTCCCTTGTCACACTTCCTGGTCGTTGTAATTTAAAAATTGTTTTAAAGTGGTATCTGGTCACATTCTTGTTCTGATGACAGAACACATAGTGTACCTTGGTTAACCTCAGAATAAAAACTTGGACAACTGCAACAGTTCCAAATGATAGATCCATTACTTCAGAAGCAGTGACTCCATTCTTGCTTTTATAGATGAAGTGGAACTCTCTGTCCCATAGTGTGGTGGAGGCTTCTTCTTTGGAGGCTTTTAAACAGAGGCTGGATGGCCATCTGTCAGGGGTTCTTTGAATGCAATTTTCCTGCTTCTTGGCAGGGGGTTGGACAGGATGGCCCACAAGGTCTCTTCTAATTCTATGATTCTATGATGCTCCTTCTGCAATTGCCGCAGGTTGCGCAAGTGCTGCCCTTGTGCTGAATCTCTATTAGGAACAGGGTCCAACCCCCAGATAGGTCTCATACAAGCTGTAGCATCTGTGAGTCATAAAAAGAAAGTATATCGATCACCTTCACTGTAACAGAGCCATTGCCCATCCCAGGTTTTAAGTTTCCCATGCTTTGTCAGACCATATATCCCTATCACTTAGATTTTTTTCTTTTAGGATTTTATTTGTTGCTTCTCCTTGTCTGTTTGTTTCATTACAGAACTTTGGGGGGGGGGGGGGGGAGATTAGGCTACAACTCCAAACTCTCCAGGATCCTGAGACTTGTAGTTGAAATACAGTATGACTCTAGTATCCATGAGGGATACATTCCAAGATCACAACCACAGTTGTGGATAATAGTAACACATATACTTTGATTATTCTTGGGCTGGAAACATACCATATAATAGAACTGAAGGGCCTAGAGCAGCCCACATACACTTCCATTTGTGTACTGTTCTAGGTTCTCCAGTGTAGTTCTATGGTATATTTGGGCTGGAGACATGCCATAAAATCATATTGGAGGACCTAGGAAGGCCCATAGAAAGTGTTTTGGAGTATGGGTAAGTGAAATCATACTGTAATTACTTTTTGCAAGCTCTACTTCATTAGAAGTACTTTTGCATCTTGAAATCCATGCCCCCCCCCCCTCCAAAAAGTCTCTCATATCATTTTTCTTCTGTTACTTCTACAGATCCTGTGTGGGAAGGAGATCCCACGCTGGGTGAACCGTCTAGCCTACTTCAGCTCCTGTATTCCCTTCCTGCAAAGCTGCCTCCCCAAGGAATGGCTGACACCAGCTGCCCTTCAGAGCCACATCAGCCTTGGCCTCCATAAGGAAGAGCAAGGAGACACCACGGATGAGGAATCCCCATCCACTTCTGCAGCTGCCTCAGCCTCAGGCCCTTCGCGAACCTGCAGACACACAAGAGTCTGAACTCCATGCCCACTGAAATCACTGTCAGACATTTTCCTTTGCTCTGTTTGCCACTCATCCTCCACATCTCATTGCCTCTTCACTCATCTCCTGAGAATGCCAGGAGAACACTTCAGCCCAAGATCACCAGGTTGAATCCTTTCAGAAAGGAAACGAATGCCCTGCCTCTTTTTCTATGTCCTGCTGCAGCTACTCAGCAAAGTGACCTCTGTCACTCCAAGATTCAGGCCAACATGTGCTGGAGTTTAAACTCTGGAGGCTGACATGCATTCCTGAATCCAAAACAAAAACCAGAAACTGCTGGCATCTCTGGGACATGATGACACAGTGGACCTGAAGGGAAGCCATAATGAGAAGTTCCTCCTCTGGAACTCTTTTAATCCTCTGCCTCCTCCTGCCATGCACACAAAACGCCTTTTCTCCACTCCCTCCGAGGTTGCACCTTATTCACACAGGGCGCCTGCCTCCTTTAAGTACCAAAATAATGGACTGGACTCAGAGCTTATCTTCCTCATCCATACGACCAGCAACAAGCTCCAGTTAACACCATTTCCTTATTTCTCTTTCGTTCTCTCCCCTTATCCCCCACCCCTTTTTTGTAATCACTAGTTTCTTAAAGTCATCTGCTGGATAAATGAAAGGTGCTGCCATTCTACCACTGCAGATTTATTTATTTTTTCTTTCTTTTTTGTGAATTAGAATATTGTATCAGAGACTGGAGGATATATCATCCTTCAACAACAATAGCAAAAGTATTCTAGAAACGATTGTGTGGTTCTGGTTTTTATTAAGAAGTTATGAAAAAAGCAAGATAATGAAAGTTGTCAGTTTCTTTCTGGACAAGGGTTTCTCTCATATCTTTAATCTAGAAGGAAGAAATGATGCTATTCCAGATGATGATGGGCCACAAGTCTCAATAGCTCTAGCCATCAAAACTAATGATTGTGTGTGATGGGTGTTGTAGTTCAACAACTTGAAAGAAGATCCCTCTGCTATACATAAAAGTGAAGTGAACTGTTTCAAGCAATACGGGGCATGGACAGCTAGACAGAATGTGAGATCAGCAACTAACAAGTAGAGTATGTGTCCAGTTCTGGGAATCACAGTTTAAGAAGGGTGTGAACAAGCTTAAATGTTTCCAGAGAAAGGTGACCAAGGTGAGAAAGAACCTGGAAATGTGTGAGAAACAGTTTAAGACAGTGTTTCCCAAACTCTGGTTTTCCATTTGGCTTGGACTTCCTGGAGTCTCTGATCATTGGCAAAGGGAGATGAGGGTCCGAGGAGTTGAAAACCAAAGCACCTGGAGGACTGGAGTTAGGGAATCACTCATTTAAGGTGCTGGGTAAGTTCAACCTAGAGAGAAGACTAGAACGTGATACAACAGCCTTTCCCAAATATCAGAATGATTCCCATTAGGAAGATGGAGTGAGTTTGTTTTCTGCTGCTTCAGGGAATAGGACCCAAACCAATAGATTCAATTTATAAGTCAGAGGATTCCAACTACACTTTAGGGCAGTGGTTCTCAACCTCTGAGTCCCCAGGTGTTTTGGCCTACAACTCCCAGAAATCCCAGCCAGTTTACCAACTGTTAGGATTTCTGGGAGTTGAAGGCCATAACATCTGAAGACTCACAGGTTGAGAACCACTGCTTTAGGGCTTAAACAGTGAAAAGGGGTAATAGACTATTTTTTGCTGGTGGTTTCTAAACAAAAGTTAGATGGCCATCTTTCAGAGGTCCTTTGGCAGTGGATTTTTGCACAGACAGAGAGTTAAACTAGATGGCCCTTGGAGTCCACCCCAACCCCATTCTTTTTCTATAATTTAAATTATATCCTGCCTTTCTCCTGGCATGGAACCCTGACTCTATGGTTTTCAAAGTGATAGTCTTAAGATAAGAGTGGGGCATTTGCACTCTAATCAGGCAGTGAAAATGTCTGCAAGAAAGCCTGCATCAAAAAATTAAATTGACAACCCTGGCTAGAGCTGGTATTTGGACTAAATTGGTAGGGCTCTTATAGCTTTCTGTCTGATACTCTCAGTTTTTTTCAGTGGTCCCCTAAACTTTCCTTAAGTAGAAGATCAGAACTGAGAGATGGGCTTGACAGTGACTACTATTTGGTGACCCCCCTGTGCTGTTGTAGAAAAGCCCTGGTTCATTCCAAGGTAGAGTTATGGTAGGCCTCCAGTAGCTCCAAGCAGGATGGCCAATGCCCTGGAATGATGGAATTTGTTGTCAGGCATCATCTGTGGACCCAGAAGTTGGAGGTCACAGATTTGAACCGCAGGCTCACAGAGCTCAGAAACGGTGAAACTATAGGTGAATCAATTCGTTGATGCCTTTAAAACACAGAGAACCATTTGTTCTTTAGACAAGGGAATTCTACACAGTAGAATTCATGCAGTTTAACACTTTAAGTGCCATGACTCGATGCTATCATATTCTGGGACATCTAGTTTGGTGAGGCACTTGAACTCTGAAAAGAAGACTAAAGACCTTGCAAAACACAATCCCCATGATTCTTTGGCATTGAGCCATGAAGGTTAAAATTATGTCAAACTGCATTAATTTTACAGTGTGGATGTAGCCAAGGACCACAACTTTGTCATATATTGTGTTGTATATTCCACCTTACAAAACCTGTTAACAGCCTGATATAGTAAGGTAAGTGGGCAATGTCCTGCAATCAAGGAACTGTTCTATTCCTCCCACCCTAGGGTAGCCATTTCCTATAAACCCACTTTGCAAAGAGAAAAACAAACAAATAAAAAGTCCCAAAATTAGCCACTGACACCTCTGTGGGGCTGTGATTGAATATTTTGAGTTTTTGTCATGGGAACCTGACCTGTTTTATAAAAAATGTGGCCCTCCTTATGTTGTAACACCAATGACATCAGACAACATAATTGATGGTAAGAGCATATCATCTGGATACTCATGAGGTGCCCACCCTAGATCTATGTCACTATCATGGTAACTGTGGCCAACCAGCTGTCTTTCAATCATTCAGAAATGGAAGGTAAAGGTGACCTATCTGCTTCATCTGGTCTTCAGAGGAATGCAGCCAGGGCAGATTCTGATTCTGCTGAGTTATCAGAGCTAACTGCAGATGATAGACCTTCTGTCCTTCATGAATCTGTCAAACCTTCTTTTAAAAGCAAGGTATGACTGTGACCACCACCATATCCTGTGGCAATGAATGTCATAATTTTATGTTGTGTAAGAAAACAGTTTTAATTTACTCTTCCGAAACACATTCTACATTCATGAGCGAAACACTATTGTGACTGCACTATGTTGGGTGTGATGCCCAACTACTCACCACTAGTATGCAACTGAACTGCCTATTTGCAGCCATCAGGCCCTATCGATTTTGGAATTATGCATTCTTGAATTCAGGCCCAGAATTTGCACCTGGCCAGGCAAATGAAAGGCTTCCAAGATTCTGGAACACTTCCTGGATTTTTAATGCAGGAACATCTATAACAAAATGCAAGGTAAGTAGGTTATTTAGCTAGTGAGCTTTTAAAGGGGGGAGAGCTTTATGGATGCCAGCAGATACATTTCTGAACCATAAAATCATAGAATCATAGAGTTGGGAGAGACCTCAGGGGCCATCCAGTCCAACCCCCTGCCAAGAAGCAGGAAAATCACATTCAAAGCACCATCAACAGATGGCCATCTAGCCCCTGTTTAAAAGTCTCCAAAGAAGGAGCCTCCACTGCACTCCGAGGCAAAGAGTTCAACTGCTGAACAGCTCACACAGTCAGAAAATTCTTCCTAATGTTCAAATGAAATCTCCTTTCATTGTTCTGTGTCCTAGTCTCCAGGGCACCAGAAAACAAGCTGGCTCCGTCCTCCCTGTGACTTCCTCTCACATATTTATACATGGCTATCATGTCTCCTCTCAGCCTTCTCTTCTTCAAGCTAAACATGTCTGGCTCTTTAAGCTGTTGCTCATAGGGCTTGTTCTCCAGATGCAAAGCAGTGTTTTAACGCAACAAAAAATAATTTATGATAATCAGAACTTGGCAAGGCAGTTTTCTTCCATTAAACCTAATCAACTCATCTTATCCTTTCAGAGAAAGTGCCATATGCTAGATATAGAATAACCTGGAGGAATGTGGGCCTTGAAAAGGATTTTGGACAACAGCTCCTGGAATCCTGCAGCCTTGTTCTTTGTTTGGTTGTATCCTACACCTAAGGCTTCATTCATGTTCTTAATAGAGGTTTAGGAGGAATTTTACACAGTTAATTACTGTATATATTTATGTATAAGTCTAGAGTCAGAAAAGCAACTCAAATACTAGGGTCAACATATCCACTGGTCAAGGTAAGTATCAAAAGAGGAATCATTCCCATCTCTGAATGGAAGAATAAAAATGAGACCTTCATCTGTCCTAGAAGAACCTAAAAGAAGCACGGACCACTTTTTCTCTCTTAGAACTCATCTGAATGCCTCCATCATCAATATTTTCACACTCAGGCATTCAAAAAGGCCAGAAGCAATGCCGCAGCAGAAAAGGTAGAGGGCACAGTGCTTCTCTTTAGGTCTTCTAATTACAAACTCTCAACTTTCACCACTTCACTCAGAGAAGGGAAGGGTTTCTTTTTAAATATAAATTAATACTGTATTTTAATTTTTATTGAAAAGGAACCCCCCTCCTCTCTGAGTAGAGTGGCAAAAAGACTTTTTAAATGCTGGAGGAAGGAGATGGCGGTAGCCAAAGGCAGCTTTGGCTGTGCAGACACTGTCCCATTTTCCTGGAATGATCCTTGACTTATCTATGGTTCATATTGAAATCCATAATTTTGTCCCCAAAACCTGCCCTTGACTTATTCATGAGGTCAACTTATACACAAGTATATATAGTAATTAATGTGGCCGTTTTGGTTCAGTTCCAATGAACATATGCTGTGCTGACCCCCATACTGTTGGAGAAGGGAGAGAGGCAGCCATGGAGGCGGGGAGGGGGGGGGAGAGAGAAGACTCTCTGGTGCCTGGAGCAACTTGGATCCTGTCTCAGCAGGAGGTCAGACAACTGTCCTCCTTTAATCCCCCGGTTAGGCCAAGTTGCTTGGCAACATGAGGCGTCCTCCCAAGGGATCCAGCTGCCTCTCCTGAAATGCGTAGTAGCAATTTTGAACCTCTGGCAGACTACTCGAAAACCTGTACATGGGATTTGAAATGTTGTATATTATTCTTAGTTTCTCTGAATGTCAATATCAGTCAACAAATAACTGATACTACTGAAGAAGGCAAAAATGTAGGCAACCTAGTCAGGCCCCATTTTGGAGCAGGTTCTCATCTCCTCTCCTTCCACATCAGCCCTGATTGCCAAAACTCTATATCGGTGGTTCTCAACCTGTGGGTCCCCAGATGTTTTGGCCTACAACTCCCCAAAATCCTAACAGTTGGTAAACTAGCTGGGATTTCTGGGAATTGTAGGCCAAAACACTTGGGGACCCACTGGTTGAGAACCACTGCTTTATAACTTTTAAGGTAGCTTTGGTGCAAGGAGAGTCAGCTCCTGGACAAGTGAAGGCAATGGCAACATGTACACAAGAAGAGATGTCCTTGATACTTTTCTCTTACTTACCAAGAGATTTTATTTTTAGTGCAACTTCCTAATTCCAGTATTTTAAAACGAAAAATAATTGAAGTATAAATATGAAGGAAAAGGAAAATGGCTATATTGGGAATAGTGAGAGGGAGTAGAAGACAGGAGAATCCATTGCTCTGATGTCACATTACTGCTAACAAGCCAGCATAGAAGCAGATGGGACCCATTGCACCAAGATAAACGATAGGAACATTGCGGCATTGGGAGCAATTGACAGGAGAATCATGGGAGGGGTACATACTGGCAGCGATGCAATAGGGAACATCATCAAAGGTGACAGTCTAACAGCAATACTTCTTTGCCTGAATTGTATAATAAACTCCTGAGAAAACTAAATTGGTAGCATAAGCTGTCATATACTAACTACTTCATCAGATGGATATCTCACTCTTCAAAAGCTTATTCTACCAACTTTCTCTTCAGTTAATCTCAAAGATGTCACAAGATCTTTGTATACTGATCTAGACTAATACATCTGCAAGTTTGAATTCTACCAAAAGTGTGAAACTCTATTGTTTTCAAGAAGTATCATCTGAAATGTTCTGACCTCTTACATTTATTTATGATGCTGTTAGTGTTCAGGGAGACTGATAACAGAAATAGGTTTTCTAGCAAGTGCCAGACTCTTAAGCTTTTTAGGACTATAAACAAAGAATTTGAACTGGAATTGAAAATGAACCAGGAATGAGTGGAGTTATTCCAATGTGAACATCATGTGATCCTACTTCCTCTTTCAGTAAAAGCTATTAGATGGTTTCAGTCTTTTAAAAATGTGTATATTCAAATTAGGGGCAAAAATTAAAGTAGATATTAAACTAACTTCTTTCATCCCAGATGGCAGTGTCCAGCATCAGTGATATGCTAGTGATGATCTTTGTTTCCTTGGAGTGTCCAGGTCTGTTGGCTCCACACTGTCTGCTATATTCTGCTTATCCTGTTTAAACTGGCACCACACTGTCTCTTCTTACCAAGTTGATCAGGCATTTTTAAAAACTAGAGTCAGTATGATAATGTTTGCCATGGTTTTAGATTTTTAAAGCTGTTCATCAAGCGGAGGAAGGGAGAGAATATGGAGCGGTTGACCTGTCTTTCATTTCCCCGGGAGAACACTGTTTCTGACATTCTCAGATCTCATTCTCTGCTAACAAAGGTATCTATGTTATGTGTGTGGCTTTTAATATGTGCCATCAGCTTCCACTTCAGAAGGGAATGGGTGAAGGTTCATCCAAAACATCCACTTAGATGGATGTTTTGAAACTGACAGGCATAATGAGATGTATGAGAAAATAGTTTCTGTTATCATAAAAACTATCCACCAGTTCAGCATCTGCTTTGGGTTTAGCCTCTCTGTCAAGCTTCAAACCATCAGGCTTTTACAAAAAAATTGATGAGGAAAATGTTACTGTGTACATCTAAATATAGATGGAATTCTTTCAATACTGCCCCTGCTAGACCTTGAAATACTTTAATCTCATATTGAAACTTCATATACATTTCTTTTGTGAACCACTTCATTCTTTAACCTGAATTTACAGGTTACTTCATTCTTTAAGCTGAAGATAGAGAATATTTGGCTGTCCATTATGTTTTGGCCAACTGCTTCCATCAGTCCCATTCAGCCTGCCCAATATTAAAGGGAATTATAGTCTGAAATGTATTGTTGAAGGCTTTCATGGCCAGAATCACTGGGTTGTTGTAGGTTTTTCGGGCTGTGTGGCCATGTTCTAGAAGAATTCACTCCTGACATTTCACCTGCTTCTAAAGCAGGTATCCTCACAACTTCTGAGGATGCCTGTCATAGATGCAGGCGAGAGGTCAGGAGAGAATGCTTCTAGAACATGGCTATACAGCCCAAAAAACCTACAACAACCTAGTAGTCTGAAATACCTGGAGGGACAAAGATTTCCAACCGTTATAGTTGGCCCTCCATATCTATGGATTCTGTATCCACAGATTCCACTATCCATGGCTTGAAAATATTTTTAAAAATACCAAAAGCAAATCTGGATTTTGCCATTTTATATAAGGAGCACTATTTTACTGTGCTATTGTACATAATGGGAGTTGAGGATCCACAAGTTTTGGCATCCACAGAAGGTACTAGACATCCCCTTGATTCCATGTCCCAAGGCATGTCTTGGCATGCCCATGATCCCCCATGATCTGCTTCTGA